ATTGCTTTCCCTTCATTGTTTCTAGCTTTCAACGCTGTTTACTGGTTAGTGGTTGGCGTTGAAGCTAGACGGGTGCTATAAAAACAAAAGGTTTTTCATACACACTAATGTTTGTACTGAAACTTTATTAAATTATTTTTCTTGCATTTAGGAGTTCGCAAAATTATTGAAAAGCTCAATTGTTTTCATTTATTTCGCTATTACGTTTTTCAGCACCGCAAAGTGTGTAGCCAAAATGCGTATAATATGCTACCACGTTTAAATCTTCCTTTGGGCTGAGTGAGACGCCAACCAGTTCTAGACCTGTCAATGAAAACTGGTCCCATCCAATAACTAAATCAAGATTCGTTGATTCTTCCTTGATTAGTTCACTAGACAGCTGAATGTTGTATGCCAGAGTGTACTTTTTGACGTTTGTAGTTGGTAGAGTTACTTTGTAAAATGAACAGTCAGCCACGTAGAAAATGCGGCGATAACGGTAAGAAGGTTTGTACAGTGATGTGACGTCGAGAACAACAAACGACGACAACTGAAATGGGCCGTTGTACTTTTGTGTAACCAGAATTGGAACGTCTAGTACAGTTGGCGTCATTTGTAATTTATTAACAATTTGGGGCGAAACAATAGATATGGAAGCTGAAGGCAAAAGTCGTAGTTTTTATAAATTCAATTGCACTTGATAAAAACTTACCTGAAGTGTTGATTAGTGCTCGTGCTGGTGTTCTTATTTCAGAATTGGAGCTCATTGAGAGGACGCAAGAGATAGTTGGTGCATAGTGAATTGAGTAGGAAAGTTGAGGAATATAAATTAGTGAAACATGAGCAGAATCAGGATGAGCCAGTGGCTCAGGAAGAGAACGCAAATCTGAGTTTGGCATTTCAGGTTCTTTTATCGGAGATTTTAGTTTGTATTTTGTTAGTTCAAAACATTTGTCAAATCCCATTTTTTTTATTTTACAACAGCAAATGTTACTCCCATTAATATATTTTAAAGCTTTAAAAAGCTCATAAATATTTAACAAATGTAACTTTTAATTTTTTGTTTAATTAAAATATGAATGAAGTAAATTATTTATAAAATAAAAATCAATTACTCATGAGGGCTGATTAAGTTTTATTCAAAATAAATTATAAAAATTACAAATATTTTTCTGGGGGATTTTTATACAAAGTAGGAAACAACCAAACAATAATAAAAATTCAGATTTTAAAAAAGTTCTCTGCGGTCATCGGGAATTCCTCTCAGGTTGCAAACTAGATCATTTGCGGCGTTGAAACTACACAGTTTTTTTCCATTCTTGGTCGGGCTAGAGCTTAGTTTTTTAAAAGCTGCCAATTTGCTAACTTCAGGTCCTTTGCAGGTCACTTGACAGGTTACAGTGTCTTGTTGGCAAAAGTTTGGCAGCTCCCAGTTGTGGCAAATAGTATCATCGTTTGCAGAAATAAATGTTGCCGTAATGGCAAGAACAAGAACAAAAATTAACTTCATTTTTACTTTTGTCAAATAATTTAAAAGTGTATTTTTATGGTTAACTTTTGATTATTTTATATACCTACACAAACTAATATTTTGTTTGATATTTTAATAAGTTCCAACTAATTGTTAATTTGAATTTGACATTGACTCTTTTAGTCAAGTTGCTAAATTGGCATAAAAACAAAGTGAATAAAGGGTAATTAATATTTTGATTAATTAACCTCATCCATTTTTAGAAAATTTTTAAATGTTAATTATTGTTTTAGAAACTAATTACTTATACTGATTGTCAATAGTCGTGTCGTGAAATGATTGGAGCAAAAGGTACGTACAGTAGTAATATTAAAGTTAAAATGTCCTTGTTTTATTAAATAAACCAACACTTTAAAATCCTGTAAAGTGGTGGCTAATGCTTAATCTTTGATTGGATAATCTAACTTGGCAACTTTACTGTGGTTTGGTACCAGTGAGAGGTATATTTAAAATGCCAAGTTTAAAACATATTTGCTTTTTCTAATGCAAAAATGCCTTTTTTAGCTCGTCTTTTAGTAGTTGTTTCATTTATTGGCACAGTGTTTTGCGCCAGCGTTGACGTTGAATCAACTAAATTGTGTCGCCTAATTCACCACCTTGATCGAGGTGATCTGCCCAGTGTGGTCGGATTCAGCAGTGAAGATGGCTGCCGCCTAGAATGCGCTTCTAATGAATCCAGCAATGCCATTTCTCTCTCACTGAATGGGCTAAATGAGGGATATCCCTGCCCAAAGAATAGCAAAGGGGTTTGTGTTTGCAAGTTTTAATATATATAATTAGCATTTTTATCTTTTTTGCAAAGATCTGCAGAAGCGGTCAGTGTCAAGATGAGTCCCTTCGAGCGTATGAGATCTGCGATCTGTTTCATGAAATGGACCGTTGGTTTGATGAGAATAAAACCTTATTACTCAATGATGAATGCACGGTTCAATGTGCACCTGCTGGCGAGGGCTTCCCAAAGCATTTCATTAACGAAGGAAAGGCTTGTCCGGGAAACTACAAAGGCGTAAGAGATGCTCCATGATCACTGTGCAACACAATTACTACTCATAACGTTCTTACATAGGTTTGCAAATCTGGACAATGTGTTACTGGTTTAACTCCCACTCCAACATTTAAAATCTACCGTCTTCAAACGACCATAAAATCAGCCATATTTAAAACTCCTCAATCTTCTATCTACACGACCATTTCCATTAGAACCTTTACACGATCAGGTGTGGATATTAACCGGACACCAGTAAGCAGCGAGACCAAATCTTCAAGTGTCACTTGGAACACTGTTGGCCCGCTGGCCAACTTCCTTCTGAACAGCACTGCCGAAATAGAAATTGATTGGCTGAACCCAATCAAAGACCACCAGCAAGGATTTGTTCTGGCGCAGAATAACCCAATCAATGTGTACACGCTGCTTAATAAGCATTTGAAAGAGGAGACTAAGAAGCTTGGGGAAGTAGAGTTTGTCGAACAGTTCACTATGCTTGCCGATATTAACGACAAGAAGTTCACAAGTACAGGAACTGTTGATGTGGCATTCAAAATATGGTTTCACGAGGTGTAAACGTCCATTGAAGTACTAAACATTAAAAATACAAATCACAGTTTTACTTATTTTTACAAAATACTATAATACAACTCTAGAAATCGCCTTCAGGGACTGGCGATGGATGCGGCGGAACTAGGTTCTGAACTGTACAAAAGCTTCTCTCCGTCCCTGGCGACGGCGGACAGCTGGGATCAGAGAAGTAGTGCCTCGGTGTGGGCGCTGGGGGAATGTACACCGTGGTGGCCAAGTGGTGTTCATTCTCATACAGGTGCTCGTACTTGACTGAGGTCGTGGAGGTAGGCGAAAGGTAGTCGTAGTCGCTGCCGCAAAGAGACGGCGGCGGTCCTGTCCGCCCAGTGCCCGAAATGCTCGTCAAATCGGAGCGAGGCTTTAGTGACTTTTTTGGTCGTTGCTTGCGAGGCTTTCGATTTGGCAGAGGATAAACGGGCGCCCTGGAGTTGGTCGTTGAGTAGATGCTTTGAGAGCGTAAGGTAGCAGGGCTCGGTGGAGGATTGGTAGTGGCGGTAGGGTAGATGATGTTCAGATTTCCATGCCCCGGACCGTCGATGTGATAGCCGACTAAGCCGTTGGCGGCAGTGGCAGCAGCAGGAAACAGCGACGATTCCTCGGGAAGCTGCGTCAGGTGAAGTTGATCGGGAACGTAGTAGGCTCTTCTCTCGGAGATGGTCAGCTTCTCGGGGTCCTTTTGACAGCGTTTAAACTGACAGATGATGATGAAAATGACTAAGATAAAGATGAAGATTGCACAAACTAACGCCCAGATGTAGTTGGGATTGGATCGACTGGGCACCACCGGCAGGTCAATTGCCCTCTCAGACGGGTTCTCTGTCACTGTTTCATCGCAACGACGACTAATGTCCGACGTGCACCGGAGACCGTCCAAACAGCGAAACTGATTGGCGGCACAAGTCACCGGCTCGGTGCAGTTTTTCCCCGAGAGAATGAGGTTGAGTGGACAGGCGCACTGTGTCTCGGTTCCGCCGATGCCTTCAACGATTAGGCAGATATGTGAGCAACCGCCGTTTTCATCGGCACAATTCAGGTGTGCCAAACTCGTCCTCATGGGCGTCACTGAAATGAGCTTGCTCAGCTCTCCGATCTTCTCGTAGACACGCTGCTTTCGCCGACCCATATTCAAGTCGAGGGAAATTTTGTCAATCGACCCGTCATGATGCTTATCGGCCGTCATCCAGAAGAGGTACTTCGAGTGAACTGCCATTGAGAATGGGTAAAATGCAGTCTCCTCTTGGTACAGCAGCTTAATGGAGCTGCCCTCAAAGTCACTGTAGAATATTTCAGAGGATGAAGAGAAGATGAGGTAGTTGAGATCCTGCTCGACGGTTATTGCGGTGATGGGTTCAGGGCGCCATATGATCACTTTCGAAACTGGCAGTGGATTTAATGTGATGCAACTAATTTGATATGATTGCGCTGAAAAACGTGGTTCAAACTTTGGCTGATCGTTGGTCCAAAAAAGAAAACTTAAAAATAAAAAAATTAGTTTGGGATTGAGAAAATGCACACTAAAAAGTATTTACTTTTTACGATGGTGCATGGCCAAAAATCTTGGGTAATCTCCCGAGTTCCAGTAGATGGTTCCAATTGTAGTGGGCTCTCCAATCAACCGAGTGGCATTGATTGAATTACTACGCCCAGTTGCTCCACTAGTCCAGTAGAGTATCCGGGAGTAAGGGTCAATTACCAGATCGTAAAATTCCTCCGTTCTTTGCTTTTGAATGATAATTTTGGAAGTTGTATCATTGAACCGTTTCCGTTGAATTGAAGAGCTAGAGTCAATAAAGTACAACTGATCGTCGTATGGGTCATAGCTGATAGTTTGAATGTTTGTGGCGTTGTTTGCAAAGAAAAAATTTTCAGTTTCTGAAAAATCAGCAGATTTTTGGTCAAAAAGAAAACGAGTTATCAGCGCAGATTTGTGGCTGTATAGAAGAAATGAATCAGGCCCTAAAAATAAAATAAAATAAATTAACTTGAAATGTCATTTTAGTTTTGCCTTCCTTACCTAAGCACTTCCTTGTGTCACTTCCATCTAGTCGGTAGTTAACTTTGCATCCACAAACTACACTAGAGTCTTCCATATCGCAAGTGTCATATTGCTTATGGCCATTTTTGAATTGAAGCTTATAGAAACACAGCTGCTCACAGCCGCCATTTCGATTGGCGCAGCAATTCCACCCAGTCTGTGCCAATGGATGACTCACAATGATATCGCTGGTATTTGACGAAACACTGATGGTCANGCACAGCTGCTCACAGCCGCCATTTCGATTGGCGCAGCAATTCCACCCAGTCTGTGCCAGTGGATGACTCACAATGATATCGCTGGTATTTGACGAAACACTGATGGTCAGATTGGAAGTAACATCGAATCCTTTTGTTTTGTTTATGATTCGAATGATCTTTTGATTTGGATCAAACAGGTAAATGTAGCTTTGAAATACTGATATGCTTGAAAAGCGCTCTGAATNAAATCCTTTTGTTTTGTTTATGATTCGAATGATCTTTTGATTTGGATCAAGCAGGTAAATGTAGCTTTGAAATACTGATATGCTTGAAAAGCGCTCTGAATTGCCTTTGATGAACTTTCGGTTTGAGCCGTCATATTTGCAAGAATCAATGTTTCGGTTTTCGTCCAGCCAGTAAAGTCGATGATCGTCATAATCAATAGTGAGTGAGTGAACGTTTCTCGCATTGTGAATTACCGGAGACTTGAAAGCCTTGCTTCCATCGAGAAAAAAGCAATCAATTCGAGCGACCCATTGGCGATCGAATGAAGAAACAAAGAGATAGCCGAAAGCTGAATCGACAACCACTGATTTGGGCTTCTGTCCATCTAGAAACTGGTAGATAACTTTTCGATATTTGCCATCGGATTTGCCTACTTCAATCTTTCTGCTGGCAGAGTCAACCCAGTAAAGCTGCTCAGACAACCAATCAATAGCAAGGTCTTCCGGTTTAGAGTTTGAGTCAGAAGGTAGCTTGAAGATTTGTTCAGGCTGGCCCTTGTGTAGAACTAAACGAAAAATGGCACGAGATTTTGAGTCTATCCAGTAAACTGTGTTTCGGGACACATCTAAATCAAAAGACTTGGCCGACTGAATTCCCGAGACTTGCGATATCAGTGAAGAGTTTGCTAGTTGCTGCTGAATTTCATGCCTTTGAAGAAAAAAGAACGACACTTTCTCAAGAACGCAGTTGAACTTATCTACCAAGTGGTATCCACGCGGACAGGCACATGTGTAGTCCTTGTCTGGTCGGCTAAAGCAAAAGTGCGAGCAGCCTCCATTTGAAGCTCCACAGGAATTTTGCAAAGCAAAGTTTTCTGATGTATTAAAGTTGACCGCTTTGATGCCCATCCAGTCGGGCAGTTGGTTGGAGATTCCATCGACGAGGTCTTTTTGAATGGAACTGTTGCGCGTGTTTATTCCTTTAATTAGTCGCTTCTGGCGGTCACTGTTTTAATTAGTGGAAAAAATGGTAATTTTTGTATCAGATAAACAAAGCAACAACCCTACTGACCTGAAATAAATCCAGTCATCTAGCAAAGTGAAGCCAAATATGTACATGGCCTTGTCTTTGATGAGCAATGTTCTCTGACTGCCATCAAAACGGCACCACTCCACAGTGTGCTCAAAGCCGTCCCCGAAGTAAAGCTTTGACTCTTTAGTATCAATTGCCAGACCATTTGGCCAGCGAATCTTTGTAGTGATAATTGCGGTTCGTTCGGAACCGTCCAACAGAGCTCGTTCAATCTTTGGCTTCTGTCCCCAATCAGACCTACAAACAAAATAAAATGAATTAACTTGAGATGTCAATGTTTTAGTTTTCCCTTTTAGTACCAGAACATGTAGCCAGCCTCTTGGTGGACTGCCAGAGCACGCGGCTTCTCTAGATCTTCTTCGACCAGCACCTTACGGGAGCTACCATCAAGTCGGGCCACTACAACTCGAGCCATTTCACACTCTGTCCAGTAGATGTTTCTAGCAACTGGATCGATGACAATCGCTTCCAGGCAGACGACTTCTCGGTTTACGACCACCACTGTGTCGTTGCTTTTGCCGTTAAAGGGCGCCTTGCGAATTGACCTCCCATCCTTGTGATCATCCGCCCAGTAGACCATCATCTCCACCGGGTCGTAGTCAATCAGCGTAGCGTGCTTCGTCTTTCGCAGGACAATGGTCGAAGTGTCGGGCGAGTCGAGGGCAATCTTCCGCAGATCACTGCTGCGAGCGATGAGAAGAAGCTTCTCGTGGACGGCACAGGTCTGATTGTCAGGGTGCAACTTCATGCCACTGGGACAGGCACAGGAGATGAAACGCGGTCCAATGGAGGAGAGCAGGCACAGGTGAGAGCAGTTTCCGTTGTTATGTGAGCAGTGAGAGTGATTGCCGGGCTGGGCGGCGGCGGAGAACCACTTGAGGCCGTGGGGCGCGTGCTGCTCCTCCTTCTTGCTGTTCCGGTACTTGGGAAGGTTGGCGTGGCCGACGGCTCCGCTCTTGAGGTTGCACGAGTGAATGTCCTTGCTGGAGTTATCCGACCAGAAGACGGTGTCGCCGATCAGCGTCATGAACAGGCGAAAGGGCACCGGAAAGCGAGATGAACTGCACAGATGGGAGATGCGCTGGTTGCCGAAAAAGTCTGACGACTCAATTCGAGACACGTGATTCAGGTCAGTCTTCACCGGTATGGTGAACCAGTAGAGACGTTTTCCCGCGTAGTCGACGGTCAGTCCGGAGAAGCAGCTGTCTCTGTCTTCCAGTATAACAGTCCGACTGCCTGGGTCGCCGTCCATTGAGCTGCGTTCTATTTTCCCTGGCGGGAAGCAGTCAGCCCAGAAAAGGAAACTACATAGAAAGGGGAAAAGAAGTTTGTAAAAATACCACTCAATCACTTGTGAAAAACAAAATAAATACCCATCTTCAGGAACTAAAGCGATTGACCAAAGGGATTCCAAGTCTTTGGAGATGAGAACCGATCGCTGACTTCCATTGTAATTGGACACCTCAATTCGATTGAGTCCTGTGTCAGCCCAGTAAAGCTTTTTGCCCACCCAGTCGACGGCAAATTTCTCTGGCGATTGAGGATTACTAATGCCAATTGTGAAAGTCTTTTTGTCGCTCAACCGCAAAGAAGTAATCACATCTTCGCTCTGATCACTCCAAAAGATCAGCTGTTCAGAGTAGTCAAAGTCAATTGCGTAACTGTTGGTCAGATTAGTGTAGATCACCGAAGTGTTTGGTCGTTTGTTGCGAGTGAAGCTCTGCTCATCGAGGAAAAATATTGATTTGTTGTCAGTGTACAAAAGACTTGCATTGATGACAGCTAAACCTGTTTTAGAAAAATTAAACATTGAATTGTTTACGTAGAAACTAAAAAGAGCAATACGAACCGAAAAATAACAAAAAGAGACTGAAAAGTCTCAGCAAACTCTCTCTGGCCTGAGCCATTGTAGTTCGAACCGGGCAAAGACACTTTGGTGGTCACATTTGGCACTGTGTTACTTGTGGCTGGTTGAATCAGCAGAGTGAACTGATGGTCGGTTGCTGGCGTGTTACAGTTGTTGGATGGCACATTTTTTTCACAAGGACCCCATCGTCATCAGGTGACAATTGTTGACGAATGTCTTCTGAGCTGAATCTGTATGATGATGTGCTGGTGGTGGTGGTAGGGCTTTGGGCAGCTTTGATTCGGTGGTGGTCGTT